CTGCACCCAGGTGGAGAGTGGTGTTTGATAGGGTAGGGCATAATGATACTTATTATAATTATTAATGTTGTTATTATTGACACATAGAAGAGTAAGAAGTTTGAAAGCTGGGGAGACGGGTAAAACCACAGTGGGAAACAGAAAAATGGAACCCTTTCAACAATTAGCATAAAAATCCAGTAATCTTCTAAATAGGTCAGATCTCGAAATCTATTTGCTGCAAGTGATCTTTAGCTATTAATAATAAATTTATTATTGAATAATGAACTTATTCACATATACTGACAGGCATACAGTCAAAATTCTTTTTCCCATTTCTTCCTGCTGTCCTGCTCCTGGCCCCCCAAGACACAGGTACCCACTTTGAATGATATACAGTAACATTAGTACTGATAACATCTATTTATTTCCTCCTCATTTCCCCTCAAAAGGTAGCATCTTGTTCTGCCCTTTTGTTTAATTCCACGCTTCACACTTACTGGAAATCATCTCCCATCAGAACAGAGAGCTTCCTCATTTTTTTTTCAATACTCTGTGGTTTTGATGAAAAACCCTGCCCTTTCCAGTCTAAACAGGAAGTAGAGACTGAACTGCATCTTTGAAGTGTCCTGCTGGTCATTATGGGAGTGAGGGGCTAGCTGAATCACATATGCCTGCCAACCAGGTCTTTTAATTGAGGGATGCTATTAAAATTCAAAATTGGAAATGAGAGAGGCAAGGGCGGGGGGGGGAGGAAGAAAACTTGTCAATCCAGAAGCATTTCCAAGTAATATTAGATGTCACACACAAAAGAAATACTTAAGCAAAAAAATTTTCCTGTGTTCCTGCAGAATCAGCCACCCTCAAATCTAGAAAGAGGAAGCAGATATTAAGTTCATTTTGAAAAATGAGAGTTCAAGTTAGGGCCAGGCCAGGTAAGGGAAACTTTCCTTACCTCCCTTTTGAGATGTTTACCAAGGATAAGAATCACATTTCATATTCAATTTTAAGGCACTTTTCATAACCATGGAAAGTGTTTTCTTTAAAGTGTATATATCTTTATTCCCCTATTGTGTTCCTTTAAAAAAAACCCAACACATTTAATTTTCCAAATTCTATTCTGATAGAAGCGGAGTCCTTTTTTTTTTTTTTTTTTTTTTTTTTTTAATGTGACATACTCAAGCCTGTTTTTCTTTAAAAGATGCTCACTGGTTTTGTTTGCTCATCATTGAGGATGGGCTAATGGCAGCTTAAAAGAAATCACATCTTGTTTTGTTACTTGGATATTGTACAGTTGGTTTTAAAATAATCCATGCTGCCAAAGATAAAAATAGACTTTATCTCTGAAAGGGCTTTAGTGCATAAACCGTGCTCTCCAGCCTGCCAGACTCAGTGCGACTCTGATTAGGGTCTTTGGCCTTAAGTGACCTAAAGACCTGTCAGGAGTCAGTGAGAAAATGCAGCTGGAGTTTAACCAGATCCCCACCCATAGTAAAAGCACTGACATGTTGATTGTTGTTATTGGGACCTATACAGTGGGTATGATTGTACCCCCTCCTCCTACCTCAGAGACGTCAATTGAAGACCAAAGATCGTGGTGCCCATGTAAGGCTGTGCACAGATGTGTTTTAAAGTATGTTTTTATTGATTTCAGAGAGGAAGGGAGAGGGAGAGGGAGATAGAAACACCCATGATGAGTGAGAATCATTGATCGGCTACCTCCTGCCTGCTCTCACCTGGAGATCGAGCCTGAGACTTGGGCATGTGCCCTGACTAGGAATCGAACCATGACTTCCTGGTTCATGGGTCAGTGCTCAACCACTGAGCTACACTGGCCAGGCTGTTGCCACATATTTTAATGTGCACAGATGCTGTCAGTAGGGATTATTGACAGGGCAGCAATGACCTGTCCTACCCCTTCCCAATGGCATGTCCTTGAAGCGTACAGAAACTCGATTTGCTGATACTCACCTCCTCTGAGGTTTTCTTGGAGGCCTGGGAGGGAAGAAGGCTGCACAGGAGTCCCCGCTCCCACTGAGCCCCCTGTCTAATCTTGTGACAGTCATAGAAGGCTCTATCTTTCAGGAGAGGAAACTGATGCTCTGTGAAGGGCGGAGACTCGCTGGCCCAGGTTGCACAGGTGCAGGGATGCAGACCTCTGTCTGACTCCAGGTCCAGTGCTCTTTTGGGGCTGCCTCTGGGGGCAGACATGTGAAGAGAACCTGGCATCACCTGTAAACAGACAACAAACAAAGGGAGGGAGAAGTGAGAAGAACAGATTCAGAAGACTTCTCTTTTAAAGATAAAACTAGAGGCCCGGTGCACGAAATTCATGCACGGGTAGGGTCCCTAGGCCTGGCCGGCAATCAGGGTTGATCAGGGCTTTCCAGCTGCTGGCCAGGACCTTCCTTCCCCAGCTGCAGGGACCTTCCTTTGTTTTGAGCTGCCCCCTGGTGGTCAGCACATGTCATAGTGAGTGATTGAACTCCCAGTTTCCCTGTTGAACTCCCAAGGGGACACTTTGCATATTAGCCATATATATATGAGATCTGGAAGAAATCAGGCCCTATAAAAGTGGAGGATATAGTCATGGTGAAGTTAAATAATAGCAATAAGGAAACTGAAGGCTCGACATAGAGAGCTAACCTGTAATCTGGACCAAGGTAGGAGGGGGCAAGGGGAAAGGCCAGGTCCTTTCTGATATCCTGAGAAACCCCAACAGATAAGATTTAATGACAACTCAGAGCCCAGGACCCTTGGACCCACAGTTAATGGGTAACAAGCTTCGTCTTCTCTTTCACTTTTCCTCTTCCAGCTTTTGATAAGAGCTTGGGCGGAACAGGGGATGAATAATTCAAGGGCATCGGGCTCTAGAATGCTGGCATGGAAGCCTGATGGTCCCGCTTTGCTGATCACTAGCTGGGAGATCTTGGACAACCCCTGCCTCTCTGTGGGCGTCAGTTTTCATATCTGAAAAATGGGGGGATAAGACTCGATTCATTCATTTATGTAACACATTCTTTTAAACCTAATTGCCCTGACTAGAACCTCCCATACAGTATTTAATAGAAGCAGCAGGAGTGGGCCTGTGTGGCTTGTTCCTGATCTTAGGGGGGAGCATTCAGTCTTGCTTCAGTAAGTGTGATGCTGTGCGGTTTTCATAGATGCCCTTCTCAAGTTGAGTTCCATCATCATCCTAGTTTATTTCACATTTTTATCATAACAGGGTGTTGGATTTTTCCAGATGCCATTTCTGTATCCATCGAGTTGATCATATGTTCTTTGGCCTTTATTAATAAGATGGATTAATTTATTTTCAGAGATTTAAACCAACCTTGTATTCCTGGGATCAATCACACTTGGTCATGATGTATAATCCCATTTATAGATTGCCGGATTTGACTTGCTAATATTTTGTTAAGGATTTTTTGCATCTGTATTCATAAGGAATATTGGCCTGTAGTTTATAACAAATATTTATTGAGCCACTTATATGCTAGGCATTGTTCTAGGTATTAGGGATTCAGCAATTTTTCAGAACATATTTAAAATGATCTCTTCTTTTGTGGGACTTAACATTCGACTGGATGACTAGCAAGGAGGCTTTCCATTCACATTTGACATTTTTTTCCTCTGGCCCCTAAATGATACCCCTGTTCCGGCCTCAGGGCTTACATGCTAGACTTTCGGTAAACTGGACTTTGGCGTTTGAAGATTGGAAGAGGCCTACTGTCTTTTTTAAATTGCTGTTCCTTTTTCCCTGGTATAATGTCACTGTTTATTAAATTAAGGGGCACATAGAAAGGGGCACACACTAATGCATTTACACTAACTAACACAACCATGTAACCAGCACCCACATCAAGAACAAACTATGACCTGCAGCTGAGAAAGTCCTTATGTCCCTTCCGATCCCTAACTATCCCACCATCAAGAAAACCACCTCCCAACTTCGAATACCAGGTGTTAGTTTCCTGAACTTTATGAAAGACGGATTTCTCCTAGAGCAGTGGTTCTCAACCTTCCTAATGCCGCGACCCTTTAATACAGTTCCTCTTGTTGTGGTGACCCCCAACCATAAAATTATTTTCGTTGCTACTTCATAACCGTAATTTTGCTACTGTTATGAATCGTAATGTAAATATCTGATATGCAGGATGTATTTTCATTGTTACAAATTGAAAATAATTAAAGCATAG